AATAATAGTACAATGGATTAACGTTGTGAGCACATTAACACTAAGTTCAACGAAGCGATTATCGTGTTCGTCGACTGTAAACAACAAAGCCATGGACGCGAAGAAAAAGACGCTAAATAATCAATAATGTSATGATTGAAGCGAGATGAATTGATTTTATAAGAGACGTGGAGGCGTTTTGAATGAAGATAAAAAGTTTTTGACTCGCTTATGGGAAGTTAAAAAAATCACCGCCATACGCTGAATAATTCAACACCGAAAAAACTACTTTCCCTAAGAAACGAAATTGAACGACAAAGTATCGCATTACAATCCTTGCTGTGAATATATCGCCAATACAAACATCGGGTCCCGACGAAATGAAGCCGTAGGACTTCTTTTGAAAAGAATACTAAATCATACTGAGTTTCCATGGATTTATGGACTGATTTGTGAGTATGTAATATAATTATTGCCATTTGCTATATCCATTGGGTTTGTTCTGTGACGTTTATATGGTATGGAGTCACCATCAACGACACCTCTTTTAACTAACAGAACAACAAGTGATATTCCACCAGCTCATATTCTAGGACAAGCCGTTTACTTATCTTGGGTAATACAGACAGACACCTGGAAGAAGTCCTGGACATTTCACGTGGTATTTTTTAGTTTTTGCTTTAGTTTTTTAGCAATTTATTCAGTCTATGGCGTCGTTCGCTCACAGATACGCAAAGAAAAAGTCATACGGATTCTTGCATACATTGTTCATATCCTGATTGGCCTTCTTGGCCTTACAAGACTGCTGACTCTAAGTGTCTTCTCAAGTGAAATCAAAGCAACTTCAGTGAACAACAACCTTTATAAAGTTGTTTCTAGAATAATATTTGGCATCGGCTTCCCTTGTATTACATCCGCGTTTGCACTCGTTCAAATCTCATTCACCGAAGCCTTGAAAGGGAAACTTTCGACATCGAAACTAGGAAATTTCACATTCATTGGACTTGTTATTTCATTTCATTTTTTGGTAGTTTTAATTGTTGGTACTTTAACTACGGTTATCAGTAACCTCTTCGTTTTATTTTTTGCTACTAAGTTTTACTTCCTGATAATGACTGCTGTTACTATGGTGATTATGCTGTACAGCGGTTGTAAGGTATTGTCGCATGTTGCAGAGCATGAACGAGCTCTAAGCGACCTTAATCAACATTATGGTTCTACTTTAGCCCTTCGTGAAAGAACTGAGAGTAATACCGAGAGAGACAAGAAAAGAAGTCTACTTAAAATCAAAATTATCCTGTTTTTGACGAGTTTATTTTGTTTGCTTATTTGTGGAATGGAGATTCATTCAATTGCTGAACTTGCGGAACTTTTGGCGGGAAAAGACGGCGCGCTTGCGCCTTGGTCGTGGTACGTTTACCAAACGTTTTTCCGATTGGCTGAGCTTGGTTTGGCGGGAACAATCTTATACACTATGGCTCCCCAGGAACTGACAGATAATAAAAACTACTTTAATAATGAGAAATTGCACTGGAAAAATATCTTTAGACAAGACAAGAAAGATAAAAGTAGCAAGAAAAGTAAAAATGATAAAGGTGGTGATGTTGGTACTATGGCGATGGTTAACAGAGCTTATGATCAAAGAACATACAATTAGTTAAAAGTGAGCTTGTTTAAAATAATAATAAAAAAGGCGATTACAACGATGTGTTTTTGTTACGTACACTATTAACAGCTGCAAGTGCAATTATCATGATTAGTTTATAAGCTAAGTCTGATACATGAAAAAAAAAAATGCACCAAAGTGGGCCAGAAGGAAACAAGGAGTGAAAGTTTAATTTGCTGACAAAAGGTAAGCAGATTGAGCTTGTTTTTCAATATGGAATTTTTCCAGATCCAAATGGTGCGCACATTTTAAACGAAAAACAATGCATGTAGAATTGAATCCGCGGGCAGCAAACCTTGCAGCCGCCACAACTAAAACGTATCCATGGAAAACAAATCTTCACAGGAAACCAACAAGACAGCAGTTGGAATGCAGTGAATGCTTGAGCCGCGTTAACGCGACACTCCCAACTAGGACATGCTAATATGTAGTAGAAGACATTCCAGACGTAACGGAAATCACAGGAGCAACGATTGCCAACAGGAAAACACCACCACGGGCCTTTACCGGCTTCTATGAGGCATCTAGTAATGAAAAAATATTTACACTATGATATCGTAAACCTCTTCTAGTGAAAGTAATGACTCTTATGTCTTTCTTACCAGTAGCAACTCGTGTATGTGTTACGGACTGGTATATATAGCGTATGTATGACGTCAGAAATGACGTAACTTATTGCATGGAGTTAAGGGTTCCCCCCCCCCCCTCCCCCCGCCTACGGCGCCTTGCGGGCAAGGTAGTACACTCGCCCCTCATCTCAGGGGTTTCAATTCCTATTCCTTGACTCGGCATCACTGTACATTTGAGTAGGTTTCCTCCCTCCGCAAACTCAACACGCTAAATTCCACGCCCGGTTAGCCGTACCCTAACTTTGATCAGCCAACAGTTATATTATACACATGGTATCGATAAAATTAGTCCTAATTTACCTGTCATGTTCCATGCATACTGCGTCAAACCCGTCTTTCGGGGGGAGGCAATTTCTACAATCAGAAGTAATATATCTAGTAGATTGGCGGCAAAGGCTATTGCAGGCAGGTTTTGGGTACCTTTCATACCCTCCTTGCTCTTTACCACACCAGTTCCCGTACCACCAATCCAGGTCTCCATTCGGACGTGTCCCCAAACCACGACGACGACGATGGGCAACAGAATCTGGGGAATCACTCTCACTGATGGCTGTCAAGTTCGCCTCTTTTGTTACGTTTAAGATAAAGTTTCGAACTGTTTCATTCATCGATGGCAATTCAGTATCGTCGGGTTTTTCATCTGAGTAACGAAATAGATAAACGAATTTTGGGCAATACTGTTTTGTGCGGCGTTATTATACAGGGCATATAACCCTTTTGCAACAATAGGACGTTTGCCTGATGGCGTCATTGACCTCTACTACCAGACTCCCTTGCACACTTTCTYTTGTTCAGTTAATTAGCACCAATTGTCTTACTATTCTCATGAGGAAATACAAATTTAAATAAGAACGAAAATTCGCGAAGCATCTTGGTAGTGGGAGTCAAATGACGCCATCATGCAAACGTCCTATTCCAAGAGCAGCTCAATTTTTAAAACAAAACGATAGCTTTTAATTCTCATGATTCTATTGTTTCGTCCTCCAAACTGAGCTGCATTGGGAATATGCCGTAAGGAGGAAATTCTTAAGGTAGAAGCTTCTTTTGCGTGAGCCACAGCGATCGATATTAATGTATCTTTTCAAGCATTCCTGATAAAGCAATAAACAATACTAAAATTAATAACGTGTGGCATAAAATAGCAACCCATTAATTTTTAATAGAACTTACAAAACTTAGAGTCGTTGGACTTGTAAAAGGATTTCTCTATTGTATCGTTCTCCTCATTGTATCGATAGCAGTTAAGCTTTCGAAATTCAGTGAAGTTCATTTCTTGCTCTCTTGAGCGCATATGCAGCGTCCCATTTGGAAGATGCATGTAAACCTTTACAGAAAGAACAACAGTTAGCTACTGAACCTAAAGCTTCACGTCCTTGAAACCCAGCTCCTCTGATCTGTATAAAAAGTTTGATGATGACCGATTAAGATGATGTTTTTAATGGGGATGGTGATGATGATGACGGTGATGATGGTGATGATGATGATGATGATGACGATGATAGTGATGTTGATGATGGTGATGATGATGATGATGGTGATGATGATGATGATGACGATGGTGATGATGGTGATATTGATAATGATAATGGTGATGATCGATTATGATTGTGACGATAATGATGATGGTGATGAAGATAATGATGATGTTGGTGACAGTGATGACGTTGATGATGATGATACTTGCTGATGGTAATGATGATGATGCTATGGGGATTGATGATGATGGAACATATGATGATGATGAGGATGGTGATGGTGATGTTGAAGATGGAGATGATGATGGTGATGATAGTGATGATGATGGTCACGATGATGATGATGGTGTCGATGATGATGATGGTGATAATGTTGATGATGGTGATATTGATAATGGTGATGATCGATTATTATTGTGATGATAATGATGATGGGGATGAAGATAATGATGATGTTGGTGACAGTGATGACGTTGATGATGATGATGTTGTTTGTGGTGGTAATGGTGATGATGATCAATGATAATTATGGTCATTATGACGATGATGATGAAGAAGAAGGTGGTGATGACGACGAAGAAGACGATCATAATTGTGAAAATTTATAATTACATTCTATACTCACTTCATATATCTTGCCGTTTCGTCCTTTTGCTCTGTACACATCAACATCAGTATCATTATCGACCTGAAAGAGACTGTGTGTTGTATTGCCTTCAACACTTTCCTGTAACRAAAAAACACTAAAGTTAAGAAAAAAAGGAGTTAACAAAAAATTTAAAAAAGATGAAAAATGCAGTTTTACTTACCGATTTGAGAGTGGCATACTTTAATAAGTGTTGTGGAATCATTTCTTCTTCAAGTCTAGTGAAAATACACTTTGTCGTCGAGTTATCGTTCTGTTTTGGAATCACAAAGTACTTCCGGTTCTGCAACAATAGGAAAGAAAGAACCACATCAAATCAAAACRAAGGATGTATTGCATTTTGTACTGAAAAGAGGTGCATTGCGCACACTAGTTTACTCGACCTTTTGGCTACGTCTTCCCCATTAATTTATCTAGTCAAGGGTCTGGCTGTAAAAGAAATATTTTTGAGGGAATGACATAAAATAGGAAAACAATATAATACTGTTCGTACCGTGTTGTAGTCTTGTATAATGATTTTCGTCATGTTAATTCTTGTTCCATTAGTAGTCCCGTTCTCAGCATAGGACATAAGGCGTCTTCCAAATGATGCTTTATCGAGCATCTCAGATGAATCGATTGATGCAAGCTGTATGATTTTTTTCTTGTAATCAATCATGACATGGAAGTTTTCTTCTTTGCCTTCATTTGATGTGAATGTGGCCTCTCCTTCCATGACATCAGGTAGATCAGGACTGCTATCAAACACCCCTGCAAGGAACAGGGCAAGTACGATCGCAGCAGCTAAAAACAAACCAGTTAGGGCTGCTACAACTCTTACTGGTCGATTTGGCAGGCACCCCTTCGGAGCTGCTAAGAAACACGAATCATTGTTAGTCAGAGTTCCACTTTTTCCATCGTTGCTGTCAACTGACACCCACTTTCTTGTGCCATACCTTTGTTAGTTTCTTGTTCTTCTGGTGGCATGGCTAAAGCTGGATCCACTGAATCCGATCTACTACAAATACGCAAAGAAGCTCATAAATTAACCAACGATAGGTTTAATCAATTAATTCCTCTTTCGGTCTCAAATGGTAGGCCCAGGAACATTCTTTACAGATGGCAAATGGAACCCTTTGCATTGATTTCCTAGAGGACAGAACAATACTGACCGTCTTTTCTTATGTGCAATAAACATCCATTGTTTTGTCTTCCGGAACACTTCTTCTTATAATTGGGACTAATTGCAAAGGGTTAGCATCGTTATTAGCATAGTCATAGCTAATAATAGCTTTAACCTATATACAATACTTAAGAAAACTGCAACTCTGCAGAATCGTTCAGTATACGTCAACTTATCATAGCCTCAAAAACAACTGTTTAAAAAAGCTACCAGTCCTAAAAAGTTAGAAAACCTTTTCCAAGAAAGTTGAATGGTGCTTTTTCTGAAAAATATATCATATATGTTTTGAAGAATTGTTACGGTGCTAACTAAAAGACTCAAACGAAAAGAAAACATTTAGTGCAAGACGTTTTTTATAGAACGCCTTTGTTTAAGCAGAAGTCGACTTTTACACGGGCGATTTTTGCAGTAGTTTTGTGCCGACTTTTGCGGCAACTTTGGCYGGCATATTCAAAAATGGCAAAGGACGTAACTTGTAAAGTTTTATTCCGGACACCAAGATTACCTGAACAAATGTCTCTTTAGCACCCATAAGACAAAATTTCTTATATTTTCAAAAATCGTCACTAGCCCACAAAATTAAAATCGGGAGCTAGACTAAGAAAAACTAAGCTCAACTATTGTAAACTGTATTGATCAAACTTACTACTTTTTCTGCCAACTCACCTTTTTACAAACTAAAAAGGCTGCAACTCAATACACTTGCATGTGCTATGTTGATATCTTTTCCCTACTTCACCTCAAAAAGTCAGGCGCGCAACTGAAAATTGTGCCAAGTAAGGGCTCTTTTGTACGTCAATTGCAAGAATTTACTTTGACACTCATTTGCATATCGAAACTTCCTCATGCTTCACTTACAGCTTTCCTATTGTCTACACTGCGACGTCATTAGACAGATCTTTGACATTTTTGAATTTTAGAACATCTTTTAGAATAGAAAAAGGCTAATTCTAAATCGAAAAGGCAAAATCTCCTTCATTTTTTCCATTCAAGAACGTCATAAAAAATGGACTTCAACTAAATGAACGCTAATCATATGAATGCTATATTCACAGTATTTTGGTTTTCTTTATTCATAATTTATTTATATTTCCTCGATGATATTAGCTATCTGTAGCTACTCTGAAAATTTGAGACAAAATTAAGTTCATGTATGTACGTATACTTATGCATATATGTATATATGCCTCTTGTGTGGTTGCTTTACATAGAGTCTTTTTAATATGGACATAGATTAAAGAAACCCATCTCGTTGTTTACTATACTGCCTGACATGATATTGATTATGGAGTTATAATCATATACCATGATTTAATATTGACAACAGGAAGATCTTTTTATTCATAATAAAATGGAAAGAATAACAGTCTCACATTAGCAATAACGCAAATACCTAAAATCCACCAATAACTTGGGGGTCTAACTTGGTATTTATACACCTGTGTTTGATCAGTTTTGATAGCATACAAGCCAAGAAACAAAACAGGTCCACAGATGCCCCAAAATGTCCACATCTTACTCCTTCGCTTGACAGCCACGTTATAGTTTGTTTCTATAGAAATGAAGATTTCATGTACTGATGAAGCTATCGTAGGAAGGACGTGAAAAATAAAGTACCTAATGTCTTTGAAATCCATATATGCTTGATTTCCTGTCACAGAAACAACGGAAATGGTCCACGAGAGGCCATAAATTACTGGAAATAAAATAGCATTGATGGAATGCTGAAAAAAATCCAGACATAAAACATATGATATAAGAAAGGAAGAGTAAAAAGCTATTTGTATGACAAGGAACCAGGAACAAAAATAGTTGATATTTGCCAAGTCCATTGTGAAAACGAATTTCCATAGTACGCATCCAAGGGTGGTAATGTATAGACAGAGCCAGATGATGTACGAAATCTCAAAAATCGAGCTTGTTTGCTTGGCCCTCCGAGAGGAATAGTGTCCTCTTGGGAAATGCATCTTGTTAAATACATTTAAGTTGCAAGAGAACAAAAACTGACGAAAGGAACTTCCTGAAATGCCAAACAACCCCATATCGACTGCCTTCACGTTTGTTGTTCCCTGCACTGTCTGTCTGTCAACTTCGCTAATATTGAGAGAGGAGCCTGGGTTGGGATCGAGTAGAGTAACGTTAGCGCAAAGCAGCTGCATTTTTCCTTGCGCTTTTTATTTGAAAAATTCCCGCTACTTTGATTAACTGACGGCGCCTTTACTGTGGTATGTCTACAATCCAAGCACTGTGAAAGTCATAAACGTGTCATGTACGAAGCCAAGAAAAGTACGAGACTTTGAGTGCTATGAGAAATGATGAACTTTAGCCGGAAACACAGTACACTGCTTGTGAAAGAACTTTATCCTCTCTAAAGTAAATCATTGTTCCTCATAATATTTACCAGAACAGACTAGTTTACACGATTGTACTTTGAGTGTTGATTGTTTTGCAATGCCATAAAATGTTATCTAGTGAGGGTGAATCTCTCAAGCCCTAATTAAACTCAAAAGAAACAAAGTCTTAATGCTGTTTATGTTTAATTTTATTTGTCAAGCGCTTAATTAAAAGGACATCTTGTGATCAAGGAATTTATAATTACACCATTTTATCAAACCAATTAAACCAAAACTGGTATTAAGACTATGGAATATAATAAGCTATTCACAAATAAGATGCGATGCAATCTTGGTGTTTACAGGATGGTTATGACCGTTAAACCATTGTTTGTATATTAACTCTTATTGTATTTCTGTGGGAAATGTGGAGGAATGAGAATAGTAAATGAGATGAGAGGAAAAGAATGGGAAAGATAAAGAGCAAAAATGGACGGGAAAGTGAAAATCGTTCCTGTTTCTTTGCTTGGTACCAGTCCCCTAAAATCCAATTTTCCACAGGGTAACCACACCACATTGAACAGGGATTATAATAAGGGATCCATAAAGCATATTAAAAGTTAACAAACTGGATCTACTATTCTCTCCTGGTCAGAATTCCCCTCCTCTTTCACTTGATCATCCTCTTCCATCTCCGTCTTCGCTTTTTCCACTTCTTCTTCAGTCAGTTTAACCCACGAATCTTGATCACCATTTTCCTTGTCTTCACTGGTTCCTTTTTCGTCGTCTAAGGTTGGGGAGGTTTCAGTGTCATCTTTCATGGTGTTATCGTCTTCATCCTGGTCATTTTGTTTGTCTTCAGAGGTCTGTTCCTTGGTGGTTGCAGGGCAGTACTCATAGGTATAGAGTGGTTGAAAAGATTCCAAGAATCCACACTCTTCTGTTAGGTTAGGGAGAAGCCAGAATTTGTGTCGGCCACCGGTGAGCAGCCACAGGATACCAAATATTATGTAACGTACTGGAAGAAAGTGGTGGGGAAAAGGAAAAACAAAATGAGAAAACGAATATGAATCTCTAGTAACATGACAAATAATAAGACCACTGATTCAAACATAAACAATGACATTAAATCTAGATCGCATTCCATGTTTCTTTGACCAAGACAACCCATTGGGTTGCACAGGTAATGTGCGTATGTGCTGTTTATGCGCTGCTTCTCACTAATGCAACCAGCATTTGATTCCCTGGTGTCGTATGAGTAGAGCTGTTTGTCGGTTAAACGCATAAGAACCCCAGTTTACGTTAGTTTTCCGTGCATTCTTACAAAGGACTGTCTTTGTTAAATTCTTGATTGACATCAAGTCAAAAACCCTAGGCATCTTGAAGTTGTCGACGTCGCAAAGACATGATAATATAGATAATAATAATATATGGCTTATATAGCGCTTATACAAGTCTGTTCTAAGGGGTTAGTAACATGTATTGATGGAAAGTGTTCATAATGCTTGGTCAGTGATAATGTACATGTAGCAACTGGAAGCATGCAACAGTTGCACCGTGTGACTGAGCCATAAATTTATTTCTGAATAAGACGACTATAATATTTAAAAAAATTAAAAGAGAAAAGGAATGTACTTACAGACAGCCAGCACCAGGATCATTCCAACAGCGATAGCTGCTATAACACTAATGTACCAGACATATTCACGAATATTGTATGGCCAAAGAGGGAACAAACAGATGGCAATGGTAGCAAGGACTGGTAGGAAAAATGGAAATGGGAGAAAAAATGAAAAAGGGAAAATAAATGAGAAAAAATGATTGGAATGGGTATGGGATGGCCTTCTTTACATTGGGCGTAATGTTCTTTTCATTTCAAACCACATGTGATTTTCTTGAGAATAAGATTTTTTGTTTGAGTTGTATCCATATTCATTTGTCTTCTCATGCCATTAGATGATACACTAAGAAATGACATGTGGTCTGTAATGGTAAAACATTATGACCAAGTTTTAGGTTGTTTAGATTCTTAAAATTTGTTCTTACCAACGAGAATACCCATTATGAAGGTCTTGGGGTGAACAGGGTCAAAAATCCACACATATGCCTATGATACAAAGAAAGCTTGTTAAATATATTGTTTATTCTTCAATGAGATATAACCTTGTAACAAAATATGCCAGCAATCATAAACCTGGTCTTCACTAGCGCATAAGCCCAAGCATGAGCATAAGCATAAGGATCAAAACCTTCCGTTCTTATGCTTGTGCTCATGCTTATGTCACTGAATATCCCAGTGAGGACAAACACTCTTATGCTTATGCTTGTGCTTACATGTAAGTCTCTAGTATAGACCAGGCTATAGTTATGAGATCAAAGACTACGAACCTCATCTCCATCCAGGAAAAACTGATCATCATGAAGTTCGAGCTTCACTTTAATCTGATAAAATAAGTTTCTTGTTACATAGAATGATTCACATRATAGAACAAGGATTTAAACTTGAAAAAAAAGCTGATTATTCCTTACCTTTCTTTTCTTCTTTCCTTCCTCTGAAGTGGTTTCTGAGACCTAGTTTGGAATTTATTTGATAAGAATAAAAATCAACTGAAGAGTGTAACTTTGTTTAACTGTAAATGAAAATGTGACGACCAGTGAGTTCAATACCAGCAAAAACTACCTTCCTATGTTTTGTGTATATTACCAGATAAATACTTCAATGCATAAAGAAGATTCATGAGATTATTGGATCCTACATCTCTGTAAATTTTTGATTTTTTAAGGATCATTGACAAATGGATTTAGTATAAAATATAATAGGCAAATAATTAGAGACAGAGATATGAAAGGCTGTACTCTTTGTACAATAAAGGTGCTAAATATTTTAAACATATCCTAAGGAAAATAATATTAAAAAACGAAAATGAAAAGAACATTAATTTTGTCCATAAATTTAAGTGTGTGGACAAAGTGAATTAAGTATGCAACTGTTTTACAATAAAAGATAAAATATTAGATAAAAAAGTTAGAATTGTCTTACACCATAATATATTATATTTTCAATAAAAAGTACTAAAAAAGCAATCAAATGTGTGAACAGCACAGCACAATAAGACTTAAGAACCACATTACGACTCTCAATAAAAATAAATTTAAATATATGCGCCAAAACGTTCTTCTAAAACAATAGATAATTAGCGCTATATTCACTGGTTTTAGTCTGCGTTCAAAGTGCAGTGAAATGTTTTGAATTCATAACGTACATTTTTGGCTAACTCTCCTTGCTCCTCTTTGTCATCGGCCTAATAATTAATAGTTATTTATTATCAAAAAAATATAAAAATAGCACATGAGTATGCATAGTATGGTAACATAACTTACRAGGCATAAGTCTGAGCCATGACAACACATTATGTGTATTAATTAGTATTAATTAGCATTATTTTTTGTGGTCATTATGATTACTAAGAATCAGTAAAAATATTAATTTCAGAGAGAAGGCCAATAAATTAATTTTACATGTAGAGGGAAGGCCACTCTTTTATTTAAAGAGACTATTCTTTTATATTTTGCTTTCTTTGCTTTTCTTTATTGCTCTATACTATATGTTCACCTTAACAGCAGCTTAATAAATGTGAATACTTTAACGAATGTGATGGCTGAAATTGCAGTTATTAATGTGTTTAAGTTTTACTGTATTCTATTATTTAAAGTAATTTAATTTTTTATATTTTAACTCTTTTTTCCACATAATATCTACACTATTTGATCATTATTAAGAATCAAAACAGTAAATATTACTATTTGCAAATAAAAGATTTTGCATTTTAAGACCTCTTGACCTTTATTTATTTTTTGCCTTTTCATATCAACAATAGAAGTTGTGCAACACAAATGGAATATATACATATCCATACAATAGGATGACATTCAATTATTACTGCAATATTATAACTGCAATATAATGTGAAAGATATGTAATGCAGCTACTTACTTTTTTGCCTTCTTCTGTTTTTTCTTTCTTTTCTTTTTTCTTGGACTTCTTAGTATCACTTTCCTCAGTCTTCTCTTTTTCTTTCTCTTTCTCCTTTTCCTTTTCCTTCCCTTTATCTTTATCCTTTCGTTTTTTGATCCTAACCACACGACTAAAGAACCCTAGAGCCAGAAGTCTAGATAAAAGCCAAATAATATAAATAAATCTTTTTATTTATTAGGCTAAAAAGAAAGGCACTAAATAGGACATAAATAAGCATGGGAATAAATATTTTTAATGAGGGAACGGTGGAGCGCTGTGTAATGATTTGGGGGGGGGAGGGGTTGGGCTTAAGTACTGCCATGACGAGTCTTCGTTACAGTTTTGAAAAATATACTTTCTATAATGAATGCTATGGCCATAGCCGCCATGTTGGTTGACTTGAACAAAATATATGGTCTTGGTTTCTTTTGTCATGTCATCCAACATGGCAGATTGTGATTGTGTTACGGTCACCAAAAAGTTCGGACATCGTTCTCGGAATTCCGTACAAATTCACTGACTTTAGAGAGAAAATTTAGGTAGATTTCTTTAGTTAGCTCTCTTAACAGCAGTATGAAAAGCTTCAATCAAGCTAGGAGAATGATCATTTACTTGTATTTAGAGAACTAACTAAACATTAACCAAGTAAATAGTTCATTTAGAGTCAGTACATTTGTACGGAAATTCGAGAACTTTTTGGTGAACATAACACAATCTAAAACAATTTATACCCTGTGACRGCTTGCGTCGAAAAGGTGAATTATGCAGGTGGATGTTTGATCCACTATTCATACCTGTCAAGGTAATCTACTACAGAATCTCTGTCTGTGAAGAGAATCTCTGTGTTCTTTTTCCCTGATGCCCAGTTGGAATCCAGTAAACACTCAACAGCTTTTGATGCTAGAAAGAAATATGAACAAACAATGAATCTATAAAGCATGGCTTATATTCACATCAACATTGTCATCTACCATATCGTCATCTAAGAGGGAGAAAATCTAAGCATTTATTTTTACTAAAATATTTGTGAAAGTTTATGTGATTTGAATCCAATCCCCACACAATGATTATCATGACTTAAAACTAAAAATTAAAAAAATCTGTTAGATGCGTGACATCATCAGAACTTTCCCTACATTTTGATTTGCTACAAAATTCAAGCTTTTCAATTCACAGTATGTATGTATAATCCATGTATAATATCGAAAGGACATTTCATAATATCAGCTGAGACAAAAAGTATCTTTCCCTCTCCCCCCCCCAAGAAAATGACATGATATTTATGACATCATCAGAGTATATCACGATAGATCCCACACGTGAAGACCTCCATACAATATCCTCATATAAATACTTAAGTGTACATTATATTAGTCGTGTTGTATGAGCCGAGAGAAGGTTAGCATCTCCCTCGATAAGGACGAGAAAAGTCTTCGGACTTTCAACCTACAACACGTGGTTAAGGCTATGCCACCTACTTCGTGGCATCTAACCATTTTTTAAACACTAAAAAATCATTGAAACACTCTCTAATCAAAAGATTAACTCGCGATCTCTATACGTGGATTCTGCGTTGTCATTGTGAATATCTATTTCATTTTGGACCTTTTATATTGAATATAAAATCGTTATAAGCTTACATATTTTTATTTAGGTTTACATCGAGACTAAAATAACATAAGATATATAAATATTTAAGGTTTCAGGATGATAGCTGCTTCAAAACTCTTCAATTTATTGAGCTTTATCACGATTTGTATTAACGCCGATTAACGACTTTCTCCTTAAAATATTTTTATACATCGTCAAAAATCCTTGAAATAACGTATATGATAACAGAAATATTTAATGAATAACGAAAGATTATTGTTTTCAGAATAATGTGGCTATTTGAGACAAAAAGTAATGGAGTTTTAGGTGATATATTTTTTGTCTTTTCTTACCAATGAAATATTCGACCTTGTTGCCCATCATCGTTGATGATTTTGTTGGACAATTCCACCGTAAATGCTTTGCTACTGCAGTTTCCTCTTTATTTGGTTCAACACTCTCATCTTGGCTCTAAAATAAGAATAAAAAAGTTTTCAATAATGCTTTGTTGATATTTTCTTATTTCCTTGTAGAGTTGAAATCCCTTCGTCTCGATAGACAAGTACACGTGTGAAGAATGGCGAAGATTTTGACCAATTTTAGCACAGATAAACCCAAGAATTGGCGATAAATGGCTTCTTACTAACCCCTCGTTTCTTCTTCCTTCGCTTAAATTCCATTATTGTGTTTTAGAGAGGAGAAAATCGTAATTTTTTCGCTGTTTCACGTCGATTGATCAACCATTTGCCAAGAAGTTCCCCTCGACTCCCGATCATTTGTTATTTGGTACGTCATGGTAAACTTCGGAATCTCCGAAGGTACAACAATGAAAATCGATCATTCCGATTGGTTCTTTTCCTTCTGATGTTGCTACGAATATTCTCCGAGAAATAAACGAACGTGTAGAGCCCAGGTTGCCGACAGGTTGCCCAGACCTACAAAAGCGGAAGACATAAGAGACTTGACAGCTGACATAATCTACTTTTTTATAAAAAGCTTTTGTACAATGTTTTTGAAAATCGTCATAATATTTGCTTTCATAGTGAAGAATTTTGCATTTGAATTCAACGGGCCATCTCTTCCAAACTCGAACTTTATTCCTATGTGGAATGCTCCAACAGAAAGTTGCAAAGAGAAATGGGGTGTTGACCTACAATTGAGTAAATATGGCATAGTTCACAATGATCAACAAATCTTCCATGGGGAATTCATAAATATTTKTAATCCAACATTTGGTTTATGGCCCTGTTATGATGATGATGGCACTCCTTTGAATGGGGGACTACCTCAGGTTAGTTTATAATGTACTTTACATGCAAGCCCCAGTTGATAATGGACACAGTCTCAAGCCCAGAGTCTTCCAGCTTTTTTGTCAGGCAGGAAGGCACTGGAGGACAATGGGTCAAGATTGGACAGACACCTGCAGCAATGCCGGTGTGTCTTTATTTTTTTCCCTAATCTTCTAACCAGTCTCCTTCTGACCCACGACGGGTAGCCCACCATAGGAAGGTAAGTGAGGATGCTCTGGTAAATATTAATGTAGATATTTCTTAATTCAGTTAGGCAACCTTGACAGTCATCTGCAGAAGGTCACCAGTGATATTCAGATGTTTATACCAGATATTGATTACCAAGGTTTAGCGATAATAGACTGGGAAAAATGGAGGCCAATATTTGATAGAAACTGGGACCATCTATCTCTGTACAGGTGAGTTATAGAGTGGATGTCTGTTTGCAGTAAATCTTGTCATTGCTGGGCTTCAATCAGCTAATAAAAGTCTTTAGATCTCGTTATCTAATCCTAATGGTGGTCAAACACTGATCACTATGTGCTGACCAGTCAAAAAATTCTATCCAGGGACTGGAAGGGAGAGGAAGTAGGATTTGATTGTCGACTCGCACAAGAAATTTGAATCTCTCCATTTTGCAGAAAAAATGCCCCTCCATTGTTTTCCATTCTGTTTGTTTTAAAAGTTCTGTGTGACTCAAATTAAATTTCGTGCCCCCCCCCCCCCTCTTGGCTGTGATCCCTCTAATGGCCCCCCATGAAATCCCGCCAGCCCCTCCCTGCTGAAAAATGAATTGGCCCCTTACTCTCCCAGAGGGTGTTGGGATTGGCATCTGTTCATTACTGCAAGAATTTTGGAATGAAAACTTTCTTTTTTAAAGAAATGAGTCAATGAATTTAGTACGAAAGGAGCATCCATCTTGGTCTAAACAACAGATAGAAACTGAAGCCAGGAAAGAATTTGAAACCGCAGCAATGAAATACATGCAAGGTACAATCATGACTGCTCGTAGTGTACGCCCTAAAGCTCTCTGGGGATACTATGGGTTTCCTCGATGCTACAATACTAGACTTCCTTCATATGAATGCAGTCAGAAGACAATAGAACAGAATGATCAGCTGTCATGGCTATTCAACTCAAGCACAGTTATTTTCCCATCCATTTATTTGTCACCAAATTTGAAATACAACAAGACAAGCTATGCCAAGGGTAATATCCTGGAATCATTTCGTGTGGCCAAGATTGACAATGAACATCGTCTTCCTGTATTCCCATATGTGAGAGTTGTCTACGCATTATCTGAAATGTTTCTGAACAAGGTGAGAGAATATGGAAAAGCCCTACTAAAGATATATTTCTGCAAAGCCTTATAATAAACCGCTTTCCCTTGGACATAATATTTTCCCATTTCAGACCACATCTCATTCCCTAGAGTATCATTTCTTTGTTTAACAGTTGCACAAGAGAAGACACATGAATATGGATACAATTTAAATGAACAATCTTATTCTTTAGGGAATGACCATGTGGTCTAAAACCGGAAATTTCAAATTCCTCTGCATGGATAATTTTTTTTTGAAATGCAGGATGCACTTCTGGATAACCTCAGCAACTGTGCTCAATTCACTAATGCAGCACAGTCATTGACCAATCAGAACTATTTGTGCTACATAACAGTTTTACATGCATCATTTTTCTAAACATATAGGCAGACATGTATGCCACTGTTACCCAATCGGCAGAGTTGGCTTCATCTGGGGTAGTTATCTGGGGCTCGTCAGAGGACAAAAACAAAGACTTTTGCATCCAACTAAGTAACTACATTGCTGAGTTTTTTGGTCCCTTGGTGCAAACATTGAATGAGATTGCCCAAGACTGTGGTAATGAGTACTGTACTGGTTCACATGGAAGGTGCCGGTTTAGACTAGAAGAAGTCAATAGTTACGAAAAGAATGTTCTGTTGGGGCTGAAAGAGAAGTGGACATTCTTGGAGTGTATATGTAGAGATGGATGGACAGGCAAGACATGTGAAAAATCTACCTTCTAAATGGTTGGTTACTGAAAGAGAGTGAAAAATGGTAAAGGGAAGGAAGGAGGGAAGGTAAGAAATGAAATGGGAAAAAAGTGAAAATGGAAAAAGGTCTGAAAGGAGAATGAGTGTGAAGGAAAAGAGGAGAGGGAGGATAAAGGGAGAAAAGATGGGAATGAGAGGAAGAGATGAGAGAGGAGAAGGCGAGACATTTGAAGAGAAGAAAGTAGAGGAATAGTACAGGAGAGAGAAAGGAGAGAGAAGGGGGAAAATGAATGAGAGGAAGGAAGCTAGAGTACCATTACCAAATAACACTAAATTTTGTAATTTTTAATGTTCTATTTAATGTTTTCCACACATCGTGAGTTTATGTACAATATGATAACTTGTTTTGTATGAATACTGTCAATTGTATATTGAAACGTATAAAATTCGGCTTAAACATTTGGTCCTAAATGACGTCAAGTTTGCCAAACAAAAAAAGGTATGAATGACTTTTGAGGCAAAAGGTAATGACTCTTAGATGGTTTTCGCTTTTAACCAATCAAATAGCTCAAAGATAAGAAACAACCCAATCGC